TTGATATTAGCTGAAATTTAAGTTGGATTTTGATCATTAGATGATAAACTGAGCTTAAGGAAAGCTTAAGTTATCTTAAAAACAAAAGATAAAGAAGTTATGAGAGGTTAAAGAGAAGAAGTTTTTAGATGAATTTCTGGAAAAGAGTTGATAAGTTGAATTTGAGATCAAATTTGACTTGTCATCAACTTAATTAAGGAATATTGAGTATTAGAATTGGATTTAAAACATGTTAAAAATTGGGTATGATTCTTGAAGTTCATAAAGAGGAGAAGATATTAAGGTTAAAGAGGAGATAAATGGATATAAATGAGTTTAAACATGTATATGTAACTTAAGAACATGAAAGGGGAGGAAATTTAATGAAAAGTATGGAATTTTGGGTGAAACCAGTATTATTGGCAGGTGAAATCGATACACTATGAATAGTACCGATGCATTAAGACAAATTTTAAAGATGCATCGATACACACCGACAGACATCGATGCATGAAAATTTTGAAGCTATTTTGGGTACGATGAACCCATAGTGCATGTACACTTCTAAAGGAAAAGTTGAAGTTTGATTTATTAAATTAGACTAAGTTATTAATACCAAGTTATAAGGTTTAGGTTTCTGATAATTGTCTCAGAAAATGTATGATTGTGTAGATATCGAGCACAAGCAAGTTATGAAACGACTGTAAGTTAGGATCAATCCAAAGGATAAATCATAGAAGTGGACTTGGATATATAAGTGTAAAGGTGAGTGCAAATTAATTTGTACTTATATTATCGAATAAACATTGGCTTGCGATGAGCCAATGACGGAGTTACTATGGTAAGAAGTGACTCTTAAAATGTTATTTGATTTACAATGCATGCATAAGTTATATGTGTTTACATTATTCAATAAATGATACATGATTTATGTATGATGAGTATATGTGTTTATGTATGTTATATGATTTGTGTAAGTATGTAGTGTGATAAGTCATGTAAAACAATACAAATAATCTATATGATGGTATAAGAATATGAAATAAGTTATGTGATAAAGGCATAAGGAATAAAATGAACATGTGAATATAAGAAGACCAAGTATAATTTATACTATATGGTATAAGTGAGTACACAAAAAAAAAGGTTATGAAATTTTATGAATTATATATATATATATGAAAGAAATAAATAGAAGTGAGATGTGTTATAAGTATGACACAGGTTACATGATTTAGGTGATATAAGAGAAGAAAGCATAAGTTATATAAAATGATATGAGTTAGTATATACCTATATGATATATGTTATTAAATATGATATTTGATTATAAGAAGAAGATTAAATCATGTGAATGCAAGTTTATATAATATATATGTCTATAAGAAGTCATAAGAATAAGATATGAATCAAGTTATATGAGTTATACGGAAATATATGTGAATGAGATATGATATATATATGTTTATGTGAAACCATTCAAGTGATACGAGCTATGTGACATATGAATATGAAGTCATATGAAAAGTGACATGAATTACAGGAAAGTAAACTACGTGATTATATACACATGTGATATGTGACAGAAGAGAAGAAATATGTGATCATAAGAGCAATGATATGAGTACATGAATATGAAGCATAAGAAAGAAAAAATGCCCATGTTATAAGATACGAGAGCTATAGGTTAGTTGGCATGCCAAGAGTTGAGGGTCTACGCGGTCTTTCGGGACATATACAATATACAGAGGTCCTTCAGGACAAATACATAAGTCATTCGGGACAAATTTCACATGCCCTAGTGGGATCCTATACGAGCTGTGGTGCCAACATATGTGCACAACCTCTATGTACTAACATATCTTTAGTTCTCACAAGTGTACCATGGGTTAATAAAGAGATAACATGAATACAATGAATGTTATGCATATGATTTTGGTTATAGTTGTATTACATGAATTATATGTTATGTGTATTTCTTTATGAATGATATATGAGTGTATAAATGATAAATATGATTATACGATAAAAGGTATTAATGATAATAATAGGATAATGATAAGAAGAAAATAATCATATATACATGTGTGGATTTGATATATGAATAGAAATATGCTGGTGTATGATATGATAGTAGTAATTGTTCATGCATGATTATAAGTTAGAATTTCTATTATATATTTATATGTATCACTAAGTCGTAGACTTAGCGTGTGGTTGTTTCACACGTAGGTTTCGAGAAGAATAAAGAGCAATGTGGAGCAAAACAGGTCAGTCACTTCTTACCGAAGATCAAATCAGAAAGAATTTTGAATCATATGTATTTTGAATATTGAAAGTAGTTGGCATGTAATTAATGTTTTAAATGGTATACGCTCTGACCGAGTTTTGTAAGGTTTTAAACGTATTTATGTAAATGGTAATTGTATAGTGATGAACGGTTAAATATTTATGAGCTTTATAAATTGAGATGAAGTTACTGTAGCAGTACATCGATACACTGTAGCAGTGCATCGGTACACTGTAGCAGTGCATTGATACACTGTAGCAGTGCATCAATACACTGTAGCAGTGCATCAATACACTGTATCAGTGCATCAGTACACTGTAGCAGTGCATTAGTACACTATAGCACTGTTCACAGTACTATTTATTACTGTTCATAAAGACGTTTTTGCCTTAATATTTTTATAATGAAACATAATTCAACAGTATATGATCGTGTTTTCTTAATATAAATTCAAATGTTTTATTATTTGTAAGAATATTGTTTTTAAAAGTTAATGTGACATCTAAGACTCGTTTTCAGATCGGATACGGATTGGGGTGTTACAAGAACTTCCACTGTGATATGCATTTCTCAATGAAATCATACCAAGACTACCAGTGTATAGCCTGGCCATCAGCATGGCTAACTCATTCGCCTTACTCCCAGGGCCGACCCTGAGCTCAGGTGCGATCGCCTAGGGCCCAGGTTTGGGAGGAGGCCCCTGATGGGTCACGGTCCAGGTTCAATCTGGATTTTGTTTTCTTCTTGCTTCACTCGTATCATGAAGAAATGCTAAAAGCAAAAGAAGAAAGGCCAGCTATTTAGGTTTCTAGATTTGTTTTTAGTTCATTTTAGACGTTTTAGTAATTGGTTTCAGTTGTATACCCCATTAATGAGGAGAAATGATTTTAATACTTTAGTAATGGATAAATTGACATTTCATGTTAAAAAAATAAATTAAAAACAAGTCAAATGTGATGGGATTTAAAATAAAACTAAAATATGAGATAATTTAGGTGAAAGTAAAATCCAATCTAAGTGCATAAGAGTCATGAACCCAAACTTCAGCCTTGCCAATATTTGTTGAGCTTTTGATGGATCAAAGTGCACAGAATGAAATGCAGTAAAAGTGGCAATAAATTATTTTTTTAATATTTTATAAAACTTTGAATTATTTTGTTTTTAAATAAATTTCATATTTTCATTTTTATTTTGTGATTAACTAAGTTATTGTTCAAAAACTTGATTATTATTTTAATCAAAATTACATAGAATTAACTCATAATATAACTCAATTAGTTTATATAACCTCTTACGTATTAGTTACTAATAATTAATTAGTCTAATGAGATAAATTATTATTTTTTTTGTATAAGATAAAGTTTAAATTTTAACATCATAAATGAAACAAATTAGATTACAAATAATTTTTCTTATTATAAAACTATGTAATACCACTATCTTAAATTTAATAAAGACATATTCAAAATATTGCCACATTGCACTAACGGGGTGGTTCAAGTGAAAAGTAGTTTGATATCTCTTAAGCAGATATTGAGTTTGGTCCTTTAAAACATTTGTTGGAAGTGAAAAAAGAAAAAAAAAAAGGAAGCGAGAGGAGGAGTTAAAGAAGTCACAATGTGCTCTTGATAAATTTGTGTTTAAAAAGGTTTGATTCTCATGAAATTTTGAACCAATCAACTGAAAATTGCATACTGAAAATCCTGAAAATTCTGAAAGTGTGAATGATCCAATTGACTTTAATGATGTGCCAATGATGAAAATGTTGAAAAATTAGGCATTGGTGAAGAAACACTTCCTCATTTGAATATATATGCCTATAAATTGGAAGCATCTTGACAATAATGCGAGGGATATTTTTGTTGAAAAAGGGCCCATAAGAAAAATGGATCTTGAATTTCCTGTAGATAAATATTAGACAATTCTCATATGCATGTCATTCTAGAAAGTTGAGCAATGGTGAGACTAGTTATAGAAAATGGTTAGTTTATTCCAAAAATGTTGACAAAGTATATTGTTTTTGTTGCAAGTTGTTCAATCGATTAGTAATGTAAGTTTGTTAGCAAATGATGGCTTAAGTGATTGGAAACATATTAGCCAAAGGCTTAAACAACATGAAAATAGTGTTGAACATATGGCTAATATGAATACTTGGAATGAATTGAGAGTAAGATTGAATAAAAAACCAAACAATCGATAAAAATTTGCAAGAAGACATTATAAAGAGAAGTGTTACAAAGAATACTCTATGTTGTGAAATGTCTTGCTAAACATAATCTTGCATTTCGAGGATCCAATGAAAAACTATATCAAGATAACAATGATAATTTTATGAGATTGATTGAAATGATTTAATAACATTATCTATTGAGAAGGAGATGATAAAAAATTGATGTTGATGTTATTATTAATGACTTTGCATCTCAAAATGCTAGAAGAAACTGTTTCTTATGAGAATTTGTGTATGTTGTTTTGTAGGTGAGAGACGTCAATTTTCGATTGAGAGAAACGATTCTAAGAGATGATTGAAGATATAATAGGAGTAAATTGAGTGACAAATTGTGATGTCTCTTTATATATTTTGTAAAATAATGTTGGTTAATGTAATAGAATCTACTCGTATAATTTTTAATGAAAAAGTTTATTTGGCGTTTACCGAAATTTATTCTTGAATTTTAAGTTTTTTTTAAAAAGGCTTTTATCTCTTATTTTGTCTAGAAGCCTTAAAATGTTAGGACCGGCCCTGCTCACTCCCAGAATTCACGAAATATACAACCTGAAAAGAAGTTGATAAAGCAATTCATCCCGAGACATAATTTAGTAATCAATTAGCCAAGCCTTTCTTTTCCAGTTATCTCCCCCATGATACCAATAGCAAACATTCTAGATTTTTTCACAATGATTAACAATTTGATTAATAACAATTAACAGTAGTTGAATGGGTATATTGCTTCACTTAAAACTACGAAAAACTTCGTAATCATTATTTTCCTGAAAAATTATGAATTTGTTATAATAGCATCTTTTTCGTTTTTTTCTTTAATCCAAAATTTTCTTTAAACAAACGAGGCAGAAATATTAAGAATCTAATAGTGCTTCATCAGAATAGAAAATAAATAAAATAAAACATTTTGAAAATTGAAAACGAAAATTCAGCGAAGGAACAAGAAATTAACCTTGAGATTTCCAGGCATTTTGGAAGCTAAAGCCTCAGCAAAATCAGCAATCGCGTGATGGAGATAAATTGTGGTAGCATGCTGGAGAAACTTACTTTGCTCTACTATTGCATTCAGAATCTCCGGATGGAAATGACCGCACGACACCGTTACGATTCCAGCAAATGCATCCAAATATCTCCTCCCGCTTTCATCATACAGATACTGCATATGCACTGAAAAGTAAAACGAAAATAAAAAATAATGTACCGGCTTTTGGTAGTAGTAGAAGAGAGAGGGGCCTAAGAAGTTCTTCCGCTTCGCAAGGATTTCATCAGCCGATGGTCCGTTGTACGGTTTCGGATGGTAATCGAACGGTGGAAGCTGAGGTCGCCAATTTTTTCAGCCTTGAAAACATTTTATATTATAAAAGTTACTTCGTTCCTTTTCAGTTTTGAAGGAAAGAGAAGTTAACTTACAATTCCTTTTCAGAGTGTTTTTTAAAGTAATTAAATATTAAATTAAAATAACATTTTATAATTAAGTTAAGAAAGCATATTAAGCCATTAAATAATAAATGATAATCCATTTAAATTTCAGGAACAATTAGTGATAAAATTATTTGAATAAATGCTACCATTAGCAATTAATCAAACTCCATCCATATTTGATGTTTATCTAAAATATAAATCCAAATATGGAGTAGATTCCGACGACCAAAGTATTAAACAATTGAATTTGATAATCGGATGGGAGCTGGGACAACACAAATTGCAAATGTTTGAGTGCATATCACCCACCTACCATTGCAGATAATACTTGTTCTATTTATGCTGTGTGCTTACTCTTAGTATAATTTACTTGTATTTTGCTTCTTCTAATGCATATAATTCCTTGAAAAGAGATATTGGAAAATTAATTAAAAAGAAATACATATAGATATATATGTTTTGGAGTCAATTTATTTCTTATGATGTTCGATATTTAGATCAGATCATTTCATCTAAATATTAGGTTATATTGTTCAAAGTAAGCTGATTTTTAAACAGCCACCCAAAGCACCCACTTTTGTCATTGACACAAATGAAGTAGCCGACAATGATACACCAAGAAATTACAACCGACACAATTATCTTGTAGTTGTTAAGTACTTTCTTCAAGGATTGATGTATCGGAAGATAGAATCTAACCTTCGAAGAAAATAGAGGAAGATAAAATCACTCCTTATTCTCGCTCGCCGGAATCCTCACTTCAATCACTCATGGAATATGACTCTAGGGGATGTCAAACTCGAACTAAAACTATCCCAACAAACCATGACTCGTGAGAAGATTCCTAACTTCATTTCGCTCAGTCTTGCGCATAAAAAGTCATCGTCCATTTGAGAGGATGTATTTGCCTCCAACCTCTTCTTTAATTAATTATGTTCACTGCGAGACTCTCGTCATTGCAATAGAAAAACCCACAAGACATCAGTGAAAAATGAGAATAAGACAAGCCAAAAGGTAACACAAATGAAAATTAAAGATTTGTCCTAACTTTTCTCTAAAATAATTAAAGAGCACAATGTCTACCCGAACGATGGAAGTACCATTATTTCATTGCACCAGTCACGCAACAATACATGTACTGTTGGAAATAGAGTACGAGTAATTTCCCTATAACCAGATTAGTGAGAATGAGAAAAAAGCGGAAAAATAATACCCGAAATTGATAACAGAGTTCAGCCAATTATGCCTACGTCTCCGGACTGCTGCAGATCTGCAGATCGTTTACTAAAGAGAGAAAAATTACAGGTGTTTACAAAACACTCATAACTCACAGAAATCTATCTAGTATTGGGAGAAAAAATTGATTTGGGATGATTTTTGAAGCTAAATGGGTAAGGGTATTTATAGTTGAAGCTTAGGGACAAATATTAGAAAATATCCTAAAGTGCAATGACTAAAGTGCAATTTACTCATTTCCATTTTCAACACAAATCGACCAACTTTGAAATTGTGCACCATTCGGTGCCAAACTTTGAACATGCACCGAATGGTGCAGCCTTATTTGACTAACAATATCCCTTGAAGACTGATTTTAATATGTCTTCACACCTCGATCAATGCAGCAGTATTTCTGTTCTTGTTACTCTAACATGCCAACTGAAGCTACACACAACTTCAGTTTATCCGTAGTCACCGCCCTGTAAACCCACTTGTTATTGGGCAGTTTCTCTATGGTTGCCTTGTCCCTCAACGTCTTGCCTCCTTATACTCTTGTCCACTAGTCTTTGAATGATTGTTCCTTACATGAATCCTCGGTAAGCCCCTACTTCGACCCTTCTCTTAAGATGGTCTCTGAAGCCATGTTCTCTACATGAACATGCTCGGCAAACTCCTTGGACACAGACAACTCTTCTTGCACTTGGCTTCTACTCGCCTTGGCAGAAATGAACCTTATTGAGCCAACTCTTAACGCCTCTTTGATTCTGGGTTCGTCCTCTTCTTTGGACAACTTGATCCTAGGCTCATCAATCACCTTGGATGACTCGGCTCCCCTCGAGTAATTTTACAACAGTTCTGGCATCTTAAGTATGTGCCCTCTCGTTTGCTCGACTCTTACTGTAACACCCCCAACCCGTACCTGACCCGGATACGAGTTCGAGGTGTCACATTGACTTTTCAAACTTTGACTCTTGACAAAATTCAAAGAAAATTTAAAACTTTCATTAAAGTAAAAGCAGTTTAGTTACATAATTTGACCACAATAACCAAAATCGATCAGAGCATATTTAACTCAATCAATTAGTACATGCCAACTATATTCAAAATAACAAAATCATTTAACTCATCTATTTTCTGATCTGAAATCTTGTAAGGGAGATGCTGACCTACGGGTGAAACACTCACACGCTAAGTCGATCACTTAGTGAGGCATAAAGAAAACACATCTAATGGAATTCATACCCACTAATCATGCATGACTATTTTATGCTATCAAATTATACAACTCATTACATATACATCAACATATTTCATGTATATTATGTAACAGATACCAAAACCCCTATCACACATATATCATATCATGCAATTCATATCACACATCATATACATATATCACATACATTGTTCTCATATCACCAACCTGTTTATCCTTACTATCCCTTGTCATTACTTCAATTCCGTCATATGAGCATATAATGAATATAAACATATTATATATTTTAATATGCCACAATACATTACTAATTTCTATAATCATATAATACATAAACGCATAGCATCTCATATCACCATGACATATATGCACTTCTACCATGTCACGAGAAATACGCATATCATTATATCAAATTATGTTCTCTTTTCAAAGCCCATGTACACATGTGAACTATAGATATGTGAGTCTATAGAGGTTGTGCACTATGCTGTCACCACAGCTCGTATAATTGCACCGAAGTGCCTCGTAGAATTGCACCAGAGTGCCGCGTAGAATGCACCGTAGTGCCATATAATGTCCATAAGGACACATATCATTCCTTAAGAATCATATCATACTAAGGATCAAGTATGTGTCTCACCAGACTTCACACATGTTCCAAAGAATACATATATGTCCCGAAGGACCACATATCATTCCTTAAGAATCATATACATATGCCAAGGATCAAGTATGTGTCTCACCAGACTTCACACATGTTCCAAAGAATACATATATGTCCCGAAGGACCACATAGACCCTCGACTCTTGGCATGCCAACAATACCCTAGCTCTCATGACACATAACATGGGCATTAATATTTATGTTAACATACATTCACATATACACATAGTCATGTAGTTCTTTCACATAGCTCATCGTCATATAAATCATATCCCATATACATATAAACACATGGTTCACTTACGCGTAGAACATTTTCATATATCGCATAGTCATATAATATTTCATATAACATATATTTTCTCTTTCATATATCTCATATCATGTATCATATCTTGTGATCATATAATCATGTTACTTATAATCACATAACTTCTACTCATAGGGTTTCAACATCATTAAACTTAGTTCACTTTTTCATATTATCATACTTATATACTCTTATGTCCTATCAATAACTTATAAACTTACTCATATTCTCATATATACTATTTTAATATAATTTGTATAGTAATATCTATAATTGTATCATATAATGATTTTACCCAAGTACTACTTTATAAAGTTATATTACAGGTTCAATTAGTATCATTCTATCCTATAAATAATTTCCACTTATTTTATCATTTTCCATTTTCACTCACATAAACCATCTATTTATTAGTTCAATTTCTCATGACTTCCACAATACTCTTTAATAAAACTTTATAGCTCTTCACTTTAATACATAAACCATAGTTTCCTTTAATTTATCAATCTTCTCTATATTTGTATCCTTATTTATGCCCTCGAATTCATACTATTCTCTTAGAGTCTCCTAACATTTCTCGTATAATCACTTATACCATATCATATGACTTATACTGATTATCTTATTCTCTCATGTTCATTTCATTTCTTATGACTCTATCATATAACTTATTCCATGTTCTTCCATTATTACATAATAAAGTCTTACATAATCATATAGCATATACAAAGCATATCATTATCTTTAGTCATGCATACATACAATCAATGTAATACATATAATCACATATAGTTATAACCAACACATAATCATGTCTATGAATTCATGCATATTACTCTAGGAAATAGACTCATTGCAAGTCTTATTTCCATTAAACACTACATGTCACTAGTATGTACTCACCTTGGCCTCACTAGTCAATTACAATCTCTTATCTTTCCCTTGATCGATCTTACTTGCCAAATGTTCCGGAATTGTTTTACGCGCAGAATCTACATAAATGTACATTTGAGGCAATCATTAGATACCTACACCTTGTAATTGGATACTAGCAACTTAAACGAACTTATTAAATCCATATTCACAATTTTCCTTTAAGGGGGAATCAGTTCCCTCCTGTGGGGGAATCAGTTCCCCTATGAGATTCTGGAATTTCTGGTTCGTTTGAGGGGGTATCGATTCCCCTTGAATGGGTACCGATTCCCCTAGCCCAGAAATCATATTTCAACATGAAATTTACTTTATTTCATCTTAAACACTTCATATTTCAACCTCTTTCATATACTAAACTCAAACACACTACTTAAGCCCATTTGTACTCATTTAACCCATCTTAATTCTCAAAAT